TGGTTACCACGGTTACCTACACACCGGAAACTGGAAACACAGTCCAGAATCAGGTTAAACAATAAAGCCCAAGGTCAAATAGCCAGGAAATCAGTTCAAGATTGCTGGAATCAGGAACAAGGAGTGGTTGCTACAAACCAGAAGCAGACCTGAGTATGCAGAGTTGCTACCGCGCTGAGGTAGGTACGTGGAGTGTTTATGAGCAGGTCCTCCCTTCCCTGGGAGTCAAGTCTGCCAAGACTTACAGCTCCTCCCATTGCCTTTGCAAGTGCTGCAGTCTGGCACTCCTTCGTCACTCCTGCATAGTCAGCCTCTGGCGTGTCTTGCGTCTGGGGCACTCAATAGAACTGGGTGGGGAGTCTCGCCTCGGGGTGTCTTCACGTGGGGGTGCCAGGCCAGGCTCAGAATCAGCCTCTCCTTCTGGCTGCACCTCCTGTGCAGCTGCTAGGGACTCTTCCTCCTCAGATATAGATGAGGGTTCTTCTTCTGGGCTGACTCCAGGGGAGGCTGGGTTACTCCCTGCCTCTTCCTCATCTGAGGAGTAGTCAGCCTCAGCAGAGCCAGTACCCACAGCACATTTTGTGGCCGGCTCCACCTCCTGCGGCAGCCATTTTGTGTCTGGCTTCACCTCCCGTGGCAGCCATTTTGTGAAGCCCTTTGATGGCTGCACTCGCCACAGTGTCAGAATTAGCAAAGGTGCCCGCAGGCTCAAGTAGTTGGGGACCCCCGGTCTAATCGCCAAATGTTCGGTCTTGGGAGTATGTGTGTTTGTGTTAGGACTGGTCAGGAAATTCCTGGAGATTTGGGGGTGGGGCCTGAGGAGGGCAAAGTTGTGGGAGGGGAGGGGCCTCAGCAGGGTACAACGCCATAGAGTCCACCCTCCAAAGCAGCCACTTTCTCCAGAACACTCTGGAGATCAGTTACGATTCCAGGACACCTCTGGGCCCCACCTGGAAGCTGGCAACCCTAGTGTGTGTGCACATGGCCGGTGGAAAAGATAGGACTCGTGTGAAAGGAAAGATAATCTTTCTTGCCTTAACAGCTCCCTGTTACACCGCCACATAAAAGGAGCAAGTTCATACCAGTCACCTGTTTACCTGATTCTCAACTTAATTGCAAAATCTCTTAAGCCCCTCTTGGGTGGAAAAGAATCTTCCCCAGCTAAAGCAATATCGGAACAGCCTCCCCGGAGACCTATCGCACTGTCAAAGAACTCTACGAGCTCTCCTCATTTGTCTTAACTTATTACCCAAGCCGCAAATGAGCAAACAAACGGAGTGGGTTTGTGTTCTCTCTCTCTCTCTCTCTCTCTCCCCCCCCCCCCATCCCTAAGTAACATGACTCAGAAAATTCCATTACTCATATCACACATCCCCAAGAATCCAGCATCTCTTCTTCCATTCAAGTCCTTTGGGATTTTTTTCCGCTGAGAAAACATTGCCAAGAAGGGGGGGGGGAGAGAAAATACGGTCCTGAATAGCATTTTGATCCTGTTTGCAGCGTAATAACGTAACCAGTGTTCATTAACATACCGCTATGCCAGTAAATTGCAAACCGCACATGGGGCGCACCGCCGTGCGGTGAGTGAACGGCTCTGGAGCTGTCAGAAACAAGTGCCTTCGACCACAAACCGTTTGCGGAACAGTCGGCCCGTCGCCTCCCAGAATGAGTCAAGGTGGTGGCCCGGGCGCTTTTGAGACTGATCGTTCTGCCATGCCTCTGCAACCAGCGCAGAGGGCCAACCATCGCCCTTCACTCGTGGAAGCGCTGCAGAGGAACCTACCTGTTTGGTATCTCTGCGTGAGTCCTTGTTCTGGACTCTTAAGAGGCAGACTCGTGACACAGGCTCTCACAGAAACAGAGGAGTTCCTATATATTCCAAAAGTAAGCTCAGTCATAAAAAAATCCCCTACCTCTGTTAATATCCTTATTTGACTCAAAACTGCCAACATCTCCAACACCATCTCTATTTCTCCTTGGTTCTCTGCATCTATGGATTGCTTTAGCAGACTTCCTTTAATAAGCCACCTTACCATGGGTCCCTAGTTCCTTGACCTTTGCATTCATTCCCCCCTCCATCTAGGAATCTCATCAATAAATTACCAAAAAGGACTGATCCTGCTCCATATTACATTCCAGTATATGCAGAGTAATGGGAGTTTGTTCCAAACCACGCAGACGGAGGATATGGCTTTTCTTCTCTTGGCCACTCCCACAAAATGTCAAAAGTCCTCCTTGAGGCCTTCACAATGCTGGTAATGACAACTCGTGTCTACTCACATTTTCTGCCTGTTTCAATTGTTTCTGGATGTCCAAGGCATCTGGACTTTGTTTAGCATCTGTCTGCTGGTGTAACGGTCAGTATGTCCAACTAACAGAAGGTGGACTTTAACACCATCCTCCAAAGGAGCCATTTTTCTCAGAGAGCCGATCTCTGTTGTCTGGAGAGCATTTGTAATTCTGGGAGACCTCCAGGCCCCGCCTGGAGACTGGCAACCCATTCAACACCAGTCTTGCCTCCTCTGACTGGTAGTTGGCCCTCCAGGGTCTCAGGCTGAGGTCTTTCATGTCACCTTTGACTTGATCTTTTTCACTGGAGATGCTGAGGATCAAACCCGGGACCTTCTGCCCCTGAGCCAGAACCCCTCCCCTAATTACTCTGGACCACTCACTTTCAGTTTCACCACCTCACAGGTTGTCGTGAGGATAAAGTAGAAGAGGGAGACCCACAGATGCTGACTCAAGCTCCTTGGTTTGAAGAGGGAAAACAATGAGAGAGAGAATGAGTGAGTGAATGAATGAATGAACAAGTGACTGAGTGACTGTGATTGAATGAGTGACTGAGTGAATGAATGAGTGAATGACTGAATGACTGAAGGCTGTTCTGTTTTCAGTGGACTCTTTGCTCAGAATGACTCCTGTGAATTTTTTCCGCCCACCTTTCATGCTAAGCGGCCACCCTCTCAAACTTTGCCATGGCCGGATCATCTGCAGGTCAACAGCGCAAGCAGTGGCACAGTTCCAAGGTCCTGGAAGGCAGGCCTGCTTAGGAGTGGCTGGGAAAAACATATTAGGCCACACACCCCTAATGTAGCCAATCCTCCAAGAGCTTACAGAGCTCTTCTTACAGGAGCTACTGTAAGCTCTTGGAAGACTGGCTACATTAGGGGTGTGTCGCTTAATATGCAAATGAGTACCTGCTACAAAAAGAGCCCTGCGGGCTGGGCCGGGAGGGGCAAGAATCACCAAAAGCATTGGCTTGGATCTCACAAGTGGAACGAGGGTCAAGTAGTACATTCAAGCTCCGTGGATTTCCAGGGAGGAAATCTTCAGCACTAGCACAATGCCTAAAATCAACAGAACTTGGACATTCATTCAGCCAGTTTGCTGTAGTGGTTAAGTGCACGGACTCTAATCTGGGAGAACCGGGTTTGATTCCCCACCCCTCCACTTGCAGCTGCTGGATGACCTTGGGCAAGCCTTAGTTCTGATAAGAGCTGTTCTTGAAAAAGAACAGTTTCTGTCAAGAGCTCCCTCAGCCCCGCCCACCTCACCGGGTGTCTGTTGTGGGGAGGGGAAGGGAAAGGAGTTTGTAAGCCACTCTGAGACTCCGAGTGAAGGACAGAGTATACATCCAATCTCCTCCCCCTCCTCCTCCCCTCCTCCTTCTCTTCTTCTTCCTCTCCTCCTCCTCCTCCTCCTCTTCTTCTTCCTCCTCCTCCTCTTCCTCTCCTTCTCCTCCTCCTCCCCCTTCTCTTCGCCTCCTCCTCTCCTCCTCCTCCTCCTCCTCCTCTCTCTTTATACTCCACCTTTCTCTCTGCTGGGGAGCCAAAGCAACTTACATCGCTCTCCTCTTCTCTATTTGATCCTCACAAAAACCCTGGGAAGTTAGTTAGGATGAGAGACAGTAATTAATTAATTATTGTATGGCATTGCATGTAGAACAGCCAGGAGATCCTAATATTGTCTGGCAGCGAGAAGTTTATTTATTTATTTTATTTATTTAATTTTCGACTTGCTACCCCGCTCAAACCCCCCACAGGGGGTCTCTGAGCGGCTCTACAGTTAACTGTTATCCCTTACCTAAGGCCACATATATATGCAGGGGTGGGGACTGTCCTAACAGCACCCAGTGGAGGGACGTTCTGGGACAGCTTGTCGCTCGTCGGCACGGCTTCTACTGACTTCTTTCCTCCGGTGGTGGTACAGCGGGCCTCTCTGGCGGTCGGATTGCTTTTCGGTGCAGCTTTCGGTTCTGTCCCTTGAGGCTCCACCGCGCATGCGCCTTCCACGCTCCGACGTCTTCCTGGCTCCGCCTTTCCACCAGCGTCCGGACTCTCGAAGATGTTATACCTCCGTCGCCATCTTTCTTCCGCCGCTCGCCGTCTGCCGCTCGCAGCGGCGTTGCTCCACGGACCCCCCTCGACGGGGGGAGGGTGCCCCTACCCTCTAAGGTAGGTACCCATTGATCTACTTGCACTTTGGTGTTACATCGTGCTTTCGAACCGCTGGGTTGGCGGGAGCTGGGACAAGGGCCAGGTGCTCATTCTGGCCGCGGTGGGAATCGAACAGCTGTCGCAGCTGTTCGAGATGTTATATGCAGGCGTTTAACATTAGGGGCATGTCGCCTAATATTCAGAGGAGTTCCCGCTACAAAAAGAGCCCTGGTAGAGGTAGAGCAACTCCTGGGTCCCGTCCCCCCCCCCCCCGTGGG